CAACAACAACAAAAAAATCAGAATTTTTTTGCTTTGTTAAATTTTTAGAAAAAAAGGCAATGTTATTTTCACAGAGGCCAGCTTCACACCCCCCCACAACTTGGTCTCAAACACAAAGGGCCACAGGAAGAACTTAAGTGACGGTGAAGGAAGGTTTCTGCCTGGCAATTTCTATTCATCTAGAAGCTGAAACTGAAAAGGGACCACGACCTCCCCCACCCCTCCCACTACCCGTGAAGGGAGTAACTCAGAAGTTCTAATAAATATGTGTGAGGTCTTAACAAGCCACCAGAGAATTCCACTTCAAGTGTGAGCTCCACAGCCCTCCTGGATGAAGTACCCCCATGTGTAAAGACAAAGGGGCCAGATTAGGAACCCAGCCCTGTAGACAACGAAGATCAAGACTTAATTTTGACGTGGGAACTCAGACATATTTTTTTTACATCTGAGATGTTAAAAACAGGGAGTCACTTTTGATTTTTGCAAGTAACAGTATTAAGAACAAAAATACCCCACAACTCAATAAAATCAGCTAAAATCAAGACAGAATCAAACTGACAGAACACAGGGGTAAAGCTTAGTACTCTGCTAAACAAAGTCTAATTGGAAAGGTTATTAATTTTGTTCAGAGAACACTCTAGTTGCCATGACATGAGGTGGGGACATACATCAGAGCTTTCTGAGAAAGCAGGCTTTGTGAGGGTTGGTGGTTGTAGTGGTGCCAGGGGGACATTCTGTGGTTGGGCGAGTAGTTTACTCTGGTGAACTCTGTACCATAACATTACAATGGGTCAAGTCTCAATAAGGTTTACACTCAAAAGGATTAGACTATCTAAACTACCTCTCCCCCCTTTATTTTTGTTTTATTTTTAAATTTTTTAGTGTGCCAATACTAGTTTTTTTAGTTTTATTTTTATAAAGTTGTTCACTATGATTTATTACATTCAATAGTCCAACACCAATCCTATCACCATTACACCTTTCCACCATTATTTCCAATTTTCCCAACTACCACTCGAGCCTGCCCCAATATCAGGCCCTAAATGATTTATTTTGCATTCTTGTTATGATTAACTAGCTAAAAATGACCTAAAAAAATTTCTTAGAGAAAAGTGTGTGAAGATTGTTGAACTCACCCTGGAGCCATTAAACCCTTGTATTAGAGATTGCTAACATGGTTTTACAGGTTAAGCCTTGCATGTTAATATTTTCTTAAGATTGGTTGCCTACTTTACATCCCATCCAATGTAGTGTGCTACTCCTGGTATATCAGTAGTGTAGAGTTTGAGATGTTCGTGCTCCAAGAATTCTAAAATTTTGAATGGGGTGATACAGTTGAAGTTAAATTTTTAACTGGATGCGACTTTGGAGTCCAGAAGTATCTCTGAAGCTTGCTGATCTCTTTCGAGATTTATTTATAAGTCTCTATCATGGCCAGTTAAGTCTCATATGGCACCTGAGGCAGTTCATGGTTGTCACTGCCTGGCTCCTGTAAGAACAGGACGATGGGGGGATGTCGCTCATCCTGGTCTCCATGAGATCCTGGAGATCTCAGTCACAAACCCCACATACCTAAGTTTTTCAACCATCTCCTTCCTTTTAAAATCTGGTGTATTAAAGTAATCAAGCAATAAATACCTTACCTAATTTTCTATGAGAAAAATACTTTTGTGGGCTGGAGTGATAGCACAGCGGGTAGGGCATTTGCCTTGCATGCAGTCAACTAGGGTTCGATTCCCCACATCCCATATGGTCCCCTGAACACTGCCAGGAGTAATTCCTGAGTGCATGAGCCAGGAGTAACCCCTGAGGATCATCAGGTGTGACCCAAAAAGAAAAAAAGAGTAAAAGAAAAATACTTTTGTGTTTGGGGTTTTGGGGGCATAATCATCATCAGGATTTCCTACATACAAAACATGGCTGGCCCAAGAATGACCACTTGTACTTTTCAAAAGCAAAGCAAAATAATATCTGAATAGAGAGAGAGAGAACACTCTCACAGTGGATTCCTAAGTTCAGGGGCTACACTCATTATCTGAGGATTTCTCAACCCACAAAGTCAGTGGCCAGTGCTCGGATTTGAGGATACAGTGTTGCTCAGGCTCTGCTATACTGGGGAGACCACCAGGGCACATTCAGTAAGCAGTGTTCAGGGGCCATGTGGTGTCAGAGACAGAACCAGGTTAAGTATATACAAAGCATGTGTTCCAACCTTTGTATTAGAGTCTTAATCCCTCAATTTTATTTTTGTCTCTTACTTCAATTTTGGACTAAGCGATTTAGGCATACCTGAGTTTTTGGAACCAATCTCTAAACATTATTGTTATTGCTATTATTATTATTATTATTATTAGCGCAGAGGAATGAATCCAGACCTCACACACACAAATGCAGACACTCTACCACTGAGCTAATACTGTATGGTCTTGAAAGTCCTCAGCTAGCCCCAAGTTGTAAGAATCTGGCTATCCTAAATGTATAAGGAATCTGGCTTCTTTATCTCTTTAAGGAAGGTTAAATAATAGTACCATTTCATCTGCCTAATAATTTGTTCCAGGGAACATTTAATTTTAAATTAAAAGTTTTTAAAGAGAGCTGGAGAGATAGTACAACAGGCAAGGCACTTACCATGCATGTGTCCAACCTGGGATTCAATCCCTGATACCACATAGAGTCCCCCAACCAGGAGTAATCCCCGAGTGCAGACGCAGGAGTAAGCCCTGAGCACCACTGGATGTGGCCCCCCAAAAAAACAAAACCAAGAAGTGTTTAAAAGGTGAAATTCCAAGCAGTTGTAGATAGAATATTCTTGAAAATCTCTCGGGAAAGGATGTGAATTAGTGAGAGAGAAACAGGAAGAACAGAGGGAAGAGAAGGTTGAGCAAATACTCCCAATGACCCCAATGCATAGCAGGCTGCCAGCCAGGAGGGAATGCAAACAGGATATCCGGGTGTTTGTTCTCAGCCTAACCGCACGCTCACTCCGAACTCTTCGCTCCAATACTGGACTTGATAACTGCCATGTCCCCCGCAGCTAAGTCCAACAGGGTCCCCTTGGTGAAGGGAGAAGGGCCCCGGGGTAAGGAGGGCTAGACAAGCAATGCTCGTGCGGTGTCTTTACTGAACAAGCAACAGACGTTTATAGGTCTCTAGAAGGAAGCATACACTGGAAAAATATTCAGGAATGTTCAGGATACATAAGTTTAGAATATACTGGGGTTTCTAGAAGTCAATGATGTTTTTCTATAGTTACACAGTTTCAATGATATTTTCCTTGGTTATATATTGATACACCTTAGCAACATGTTCTGCCACAAAAACAGGGAAAGAGGTGGCAAGATAAACAAAATCAGCCCTTAGAATGTGTAACCCCAAGACAATGGCTTCTATAAACCAGTCTTTAGACAACACGTCCCCAGGACAAGAACTTCCTTAATATTTAACTAGCACGGGCTCCCAACAGATAATGCTTCTGCTGAATTCACTAGGTGTGTACACAGTATACATGTGACTATTCTCTGCCTGATCCAAGAGGTGATCACAAGAAAAGTGAGGACAGGCTCATGCTGAGTTCTCAAACAATAAATCCTATTAGGTCCCTGCTTCTAAATTTTTACTCTGGTTTCTCTACCTCAGTCCTCACTCCTGAAATTAAATCGGGTCACTGATTTGACTTTAACAGAATTACTAACTACCCTGAAAGGATAATTCCTGAGTAGTTCGTGAGCACATAGCCACAAGTGATCCCTGACCACCACTGGTATGACCCAAAAACAAAAGACAAAGTCAAAATACAAATATACTACTAAGGGAACATACTGACAGTACAAACTTCTGTCAAAAGACAAATGGATCTAATACTCATATAGCTGCAAGTCAAGGAAATAATGAACTCAGTAGAAAAATGAGTGAAGAATATAAATGGGTCAAGGTGATGTGCCCAAGAGAAAATACAAGTGGCCAATGTATAACTGAGAAAAAAAGTCCCAAACAGCTACTCTAGTTCCTGGAAGTTAAAGGAGGCCAGAAAGTAAAGCATTTAGAAACAGGACCTTATCCTGATAGCCCAGATTCGACTCAGGGAAAAGTCACGTGGGTACCACAGCAACCAGAGCTACATGAGCAAGTACAGAAAGATAGGATTTCTCTAGATAGGGAAAAAAAAGAACAAAATTTTTGCAATGAAATTACTTCAGGTCATATTTAGTGGCACAACAGGAAGGTATAGTAGCCAGACTGAGCTTGTGCCCCCAAGAAAGATCACAAGTAGGTTGGATGAAGGGGTCATCCCAAGATTCAAGTATGGGCCTTTCTATGAGATGTGTTGATGAAGGAAGAAAAAGCAGTATTTGAACTCATGTTCCAAGTGAGGCATCCTTGGAATATTCATTTAAACAAGTATTTATTTCCACAAACATATTCCATTTTTAATGACATTCTGATTTTTAATAATAGGAATCCACACCCAATCCATGAATATTGCCCTCCTACCTACCACATTTCTGACTCAAGATCTCATATCAAATCCAGAGAAGAAAATGACTCATACTCAGACCTCAATTGCCCCAAAACATATCCACACCTTTGGAAAGCAGAAGCGTATTGAGTATATAATCAATATGTAGATCTAGGTTTCATTAAAGAATCGGTCACAATAACACATCTCCATGAACAGAAAATCCGACTACTTTGCCTCCACAATTAAGTCATCCATTCAGGTTTCTCAACAGACTGATTACAGCTGTCTCGACTGACAGCATGAAAAGCAATAGAGATATCTTTCTAAAATCAGTTCCAAGGGCATAGTGGCCTCTTCATTCTAACTATGAGTGGATCCAATGATTGTCTCTTGATGTCAAGTTTAAATACAGCAGAGTATGTATAGATTCCCTTACTGTGGACCGCTTAACAGAAAACTGTTTCCCCAAAGAAAGTGATCATGGGACTGAAGGGAAGCCATCAAAGTTATCCAAAAGTCTCCCAGTTCCCTGGTGACCTACCTTAGAACTTGTTTCCATGTGATATTTGGCACAAGCTCGAAGCTGAGTCACCCAGAACTGTTTCTCCTTTGCATCAGCAGCTAAAACAGAGAAAGAAACACTTGCAAGGATTATTCCAAAACACATTCAACCTATTTCAACACACACACCGAAGTGAGTGGGGAATTGGGAAGGGAGGGATAGAGGGACAGAGGTACAAGGAAGGTAAAAGAAAACACAAGTCATGAAATTTTGCAGCGGCCTGTACTTAGTTACACCACACCTCGCCTCCACCACCGCCCCCACCCCAGAGCACTAATTTAAGTGCAACAGAAAAATATCTCTGAAACAAAATGAAATAGAAGCACTATGAAAATGCTGGTAGGAGGTTCACTCCATGGCTTGGAGGCCAGCCGCACATGCTAGGGGAAAAGGCAGCTCAGATAGAGAAGGGAGCACCAAATAAAGGGTGTTGGGAGGATCCACCCAGGGTGGGAGAAGCACGCTGAAAGTAGACTATAGACCGAACATGACTGCCACCCAATGCCTCTTTTGCAAACCACAGCACCCAAAAGGAGAGAGAGAACAAAAGGGAATGCCCTGCCACAGAGGCAGGGTGAGATAGGGGGATGGGGGGTGGGAGGGATACTGGGATCCGTGGTGGTGGAAAATGGGCACTGGTGGAGGGATGGGTATTTGATCACTGTATAACTGAAATCCAAGCACAAAAATTTGTAAGTCTACAACTGTACCTTATGGTGTTTCATTAATAAAAATTAAAAAAAAAAAAGAAAATGCTGGTATAGGGCCGTGGTGGTGGGATACAATCATTTTATACTATAATAAAATTAATTTTAACTTTTTGGGCCAGAGCTATAATACGGTGATAGGGCACTTTCTTTGCACATGGCAAACCTGAGTTCAATCTCTGCCACCACACATAGTTCCCTAAGCCCCAATAGAAATAATCCTTGAGCGCAGAGCCAGGAATAAGCCCTGAGCATAGTCAGGCCCAAATACAAAAAAAAAAAAGAACTTAAATAAATTTTAAATTTTTATAAAAATGTATTCTGAAATACCAAAGAACAATTCTGCTATTCTTTTCCAATTTTCTCTTAAAAAGTCATTTTCAGACACAAACCAATCTCAGAACCCTGCGGCTACTAACAAAGAAATGTGTCTGGACTGTGAACTAAGCTATGGCCCCATGCCACCCCGGGTGGGAAAGGGCGTTGTCCCTTCCGCCTTTTCCCCACAGCAGCATAGGGAGGGGAAAAGGCCTATTTTGTTTTCTTGATTTTCAAGGCCCATCTTTCAGAGCCTATTGGACAGAGAAGGTATGAGCCTGCAATGACGTGACACGCAGGGCCTCATGGGATGGGAGGTGGAACCGGCCCTTCTCCCTGCCAAGACCCCAACTTGCCACCCACAAACAGCTCCTCCGGCTCCTGAACGGCCACGATCCCAGAGGCATACAAACCAATCTCGGAACCCAGTGGCTTTTGGCAGAAATCTCTCCGGACTTAATTACTAAAATATCAGAAATCCAAAATCATACGGCTGCAATAGTGGTTGCACGACATCATATGCTCTTCATAATCAGCAACAGAAAACAAATAATCTAATGATGCCTTTTCGGCAGGTCTGATTGTTGGGGGATAATTCCAAATAATAATGGTGGGTCTTCTGTGGAGAAATTGAATGTAATCAAAGTAGAAAGCGAGTAAAGTGGAAATCACCTGCCACACAGCCAGGGTGAGGGGTGGGATGGGAGGTATACTGGGGGCCTTGGTGGTGGAAAATGTGCACTGGTGAAGGGATGGGTGTTTGATCATTGTATAATCGAGATTTAAACCTGAAAGCTTTATAACTGTTCTCACGGTGATTAAATTTTAAAAAAAGTCATTTCCACTTCTTTAAAATGGGAAGCCATGACTGTGTGTTCTTTCTAAGTTTTTATTTGAAGCACTATGATTTATAATACTGTTCAAGATAGGGTTTCATGCAAACAAATACTTCAACACCACATGCCCCACCAGAGTGTCCACTGCCCTCCACCATTTTCTCAGGGTCTCTCCCTGCAGTCCCAATCACCACAGTGATTAGCTCAGCTCTGTAGACTAGCTCTCAGGTTCTGCTTGCTTTGCCCATTGCATGATTTTTTAAAAACTCCATTATCATTTCTGCCTTATGTGAAAATCGAAGTCAAGTTTTCTCAGGATCTTTTTTTTTTTTTTTTTTTTGCTTTTTGGGTCACACCCAGCCTATGCTCAGGGGTTACTCCTGGCTCTGCACTCAGGAATCTCTCCTGGCGGTGTTTGGAGGACCATATGGGATGCTGGGAATCGAACCCGGGTCGGCCGCATGCAAGGCAAACGCCCTACCCGCTGTGCTATTATTGCTCAAGCCCCAAATTTTCTCAGGATCTTGTATTATCAATCAGAATTATAAGGCAGAATTATTGGAATTTACCAAATAAGCATTCTGTTGAATGACCAGATTTTTTGGTTCATTTGCTTTGGCTTACAAGACACAGTTGGCAGTGCTCACAGTTTACCCCAACTGCAGACTGCATTCAGAAAACCATATGCAGTTCCAGAGATTGAATCTGAATCAGCCACAGGCAAGGCAAGCGCCTTAATCCCTGAACTACCTCTCTGGCCCTGAATTACTATTTAATACGTTATTTAATATAATATTGATTGGACAAGGTTTATTATAATGATTGGACAGAATTAGATACCCAAATACTCAGAAGCAGAGATCTCTTCCTCCAGAGATCTTCATATTACCCGCAAAGAGACATGAAAATACAAGTTAGCTGCTAGACATAACTGGCCATCTGTACCTTCATATTGCAGGTTCATTAAAATTATTTTCTTAAAATAACAATAGCAGACCAATAAAAGTTAAATCAATTTAACTGGTATCATTACTTTAAGCCTATCACAATATTAAAGGCATAAAGATGAACTACAGTGAAAATAATGATTCCCTTGGAAATTATCACTGTTTTCAAAAATGGGGTCATGTACCATTTATGTGTAAAAAATAACTTTAGCTAGATGTTTTAAGGTAGAAAACACAAGCTATACACTAGAGTAGTTCACAATGAACTTTGTTTCCAAAGACAAAGAATTTTGCAGGAGCTAGCGTATTTTTCCTTAGAAAATGTGAATTTCCCATTTAAAGCAGTATCCAAAGGCTTGAAGCAGAAAATAAAACTGGTCATCTACTGACATCAAGATCCAACACTCCAGAAAGGTTAAAAGTTAAACTGAGAACAGATACCCAGGTCCTGTGGGAAGGGCAAAGCCCAGAGAGGGATATGCAGAAATGTACCCTGTCTTTTCTGTCATTGATAAATTTAAACTAAATTTTGACCTGGCAATTATTTCATGCAAATAAGAAAAAGTTTAATGATTAAAGCTATCTTTGTAAAGCAAAAAAAGAAACCCTGGGGTTTCATATTCCAGAGCAATAGCAATAACTCAAAGGCAAAACAGCTCCATCGTCAAATGAGTCTAAATTTCTTTTTGTATTGCTTTGTTTCATTTTCTACACCACAGGCAGGGGGGGCAGGGCCATTAAGTTTTTCACCTGCTATTGTTTTCTGCTTTGACAATTTATTAAGCAATAAACAGCAAAGCGAAACTGAAGACCACATAAATCCAGCACACTGGCACACACACACACACACACACACACACACACACACTTGCGTGTATCTCAGGAGGAAACATGAATCTTTAGCCATGTTCCCCCACAAAGCATACAAACTTCACTCTCCAACTATAGGCATTTTTATGTCAGAGGTTTCTGGGCTGCTTTATAGATTCAGAAATATGACCTGCATATGAATAATACAAAAACACTCATTTATTCCATCTCTTGGTAGTAAAACTTGAGGACAGAATGATGAAAATGAATTGAGTTTGATCTCAGTTCTCTGGAATCGGGAGGGAGAGAAAAAAAAATCAAAGGCCTTTTCTTTACATGCAACTCTTACCTGAGTATAGGAAAGTGGAAAAATCCACCAGCTCCCAATGTTGAAAGCAAACCACCTTTCCCACTAGTTGTGTAACTACACTGTGTAAGTGTGTACAAGAAAGCACTTCATCTTTGCTTCTGCTGTCTCCTTATGTCACTGGGCAAAGCAGAAAGAATTCTCTGGCAGGACAACCCTAACACAGCACATAAGAATGTTCTAGCAATCCAATTACACTGCTGTCCACAGAGGTGGCATTTCGAAGCCGTGCATGACGGATGTGCCTTGGGGGCACCAGGACCTCCCGTTGCAACAAAACTCTCTGCATTGGTAAGGGTGCCTAGTAATGTCCATTTCGCAGAATTAAAGAGAAGGGGAGCAGGCTGGAGAGACAGTACGGAGAGGAAGGCACTTGCCTTGCATACCTGCAGCCGGGTTTGGTCCCCAGCACTGCATAGGGTCCCCACTGCCCCACCAGGAGTGATCCCTGAGCACAGAGGCAGAAGTAAGCCCTGAGCACTGCCCAGTGTGGTCCCCCAAGCCCAAAAACAAAATCAAGAAAAAAATAAGTTTGTTTAGTCTTTCAACATAGCCCCACGGGGTACTATTGTGAAGATGTATGCCATAAGATCAAAGAAAATAGAGGCTAATACAAAGGATTCAGAAGTTCTAAGTTTGGCTGGATTTGCCATCACTCATCTTTGTCGTCCTTGGTGCACTAGAACAAAGGGTTCCTGGCACCACTCAGACTCCCACCCAGGGGAAAGACACCTGTCAGTGGTCCTCAGATGTTGCACAAGGTCAAAGGTGGCTCAGAAGAAGAAGCCTAAGGTCAACCCAGGCCCACCACACACGCACCTCTCAGTTTGTACATCTCCCCGTTGGCGGCGTACACGACCAGCATGTGGGGCGCCTCATCGCTCAGGGATACGATGGCGCCTGACAAAGCCAGGGCACCACGGGGCTTCTGGTGTTTGCTCTGCTCGTTCACGAAGTACTGCAGGAGGCCCGCCTCGAAATCCAGCACGAAGTACCTGTGCAGAGAAAGCACAAGGCATCAGCTCTCTCCCCAGCGGCAACTCTGGGCCATCACCCAGCCCATGACAGGACATCAGTTGGGGCATGTGGATTGGGCTGGGGCGGTCTGGGTGATCCTCAGCACTGCAGGGCCTGAGTCCCGTCATGTCACATAGTCAGAACCTCACACTGAACCACCAACCCCAGAATGACCCATAGGGGATCCCAACACTAAAAAAAAAAAAAATTTTAATTTTAAATAGGGACTGAAGATATAGTACAGGGGTGAAAGCACTGTGCCTTCTTGCACTTGGTCGACCCAGATTTGATTCCCAGAACCACATATGATCCCCAAACCCCACTAGGAGTGACCGACATCTAGTCCCCAAGTTCCACCAGGAGTGACCCCCAAACAAAAATTGTAATCAATGGCCACCACACAAGCTACCCATGATGTATTCAATATGCCAAACACAATAACAACTGTCACAATGGAGACGTTATTGGGCCCACTCGAGCAAATCGATGAACAACGGGAAGACGGTGACAGTGACAGTGATCCACTTCCAAAGTCCAGGTCCTGGAATGCCTAGTTTCCTTTATATACCCTGGTTTCCAGTCCCTGCAGGACAACACTTCACACCTCCCAAGTCAGAGGGGGTCTTCAGGGTCCAGAGCATCAGGCTTGGGTGATCAGAGTAGCAGAGCATCCTGCTTCACAGTCAACCTCAGAACAGCAGAGCAGAGCAACTGCGCCATCATGCCCTGACCAACATGCTCCTCGAGGCTTCACCGGAAGAGCTGGATTTGGCCAAGCCCACACCATGCACCAGTGAGCAGACCGGAGCTTCCTTCCTGCCAGGGGCCTGGGGCCTGTGAGAAGTCTAGGATACTAAAGTCACCAGCAGAGAACTAGAGGCTGGCGGGCCACCCCTAGGAAACTGTCCAGCAGGCGCTGTCAGAACAGAATTCCTCAGCTTGGGGAGCAGAGTTACATTCAGATGCTACATCCCAGGTAAAAAACAAGGGGAACTGTGCTTGGCTCAAATCACAGGGATGCAGGAGCCAAGAATCTGGCCTTTGTTATTCTGGATCCGTTATTCACCTGGGAGGCAGTGGAGACAAGCCTTCCTCCACCAGAACAGGGCAATCTGAATCCCAGTCACAGATTTCCTGTGGCATCCAGGCTCTGCCCAATACCACCCCCCACCACCATCTCCTGTCTCTCCCACCCTCTTGCCCCTTGCTCCACCCACACTGCCCTCTCCCTCAGTCACCACTGAGCTACCTCCCTCCCTTCACCCATGCTGTTCACTCAACTGGACTCCTGATGCACACAGTGAGATTTTTTTTTCTTGTTTTGGAGTCATGCTCAGGGGCTACTCCTGTCTTAGTGCTCAGGGATTGCTCCTGGCTGTATTCAGGGGTTGCTTCTTGCTGTGTGTGTGCAGGGGACCATGCAGTACTGGGGATGGAACCTGGACCTCCACCATCCAAAGCTTCAACCCGCTGATCTCTCTCAAACTCAGGGCCATACATGTGTTTGACCACTTTCAGTTATCTCCCTGGCCCAAGGACATACAGTTTGATAGTCTAAACATTATTAGCACAGGCCAGATATAGGACAGGGGTTAAGATGCTTGCCTTGTATGTGGCTGACCTTGCCTCAAATTCTTAGCACCACACAGAGTCCAGAAAGCACCCCCAGAAATGACCTCTGACCACAGAGCCACAAGTGAACACTGAGCGCTGCAGGGTCTGACCCAAACTCCAACACTTCCCTCAAAACAAAATAAATAAAAATTGTTAGAAGTATAAAATAGCAACTTCAATACTATTGTAAATGAGGTACAAAGAAAATTAAAACACTACTTCAAGAAATAAAAAGAGGAGATGAGGAAATGGAAACTCTACCCCCTGCTCATGGATTGGGAGGATTAACATCACCAAAATGGCAATACTCCCCAAAACATTTTACATATTCGATGCAGTCCCTATAAAAATACCATGTCATTTTTTTAAAGAAATAGATCAAACACTCCTGAAATTCAAATGAACAATAACTCTCCCCACACCCTATGGCTAAATGGCTAAAGCAATCCTTGGGAAAAAGAAGATGAGAGGTATCACTTCCCCCAACTTCAAACTGTACTACAAAGCAATAGTAATTAAAACAGCATGGTATTGGAATAAAGTCAAGCACAATTTTTTATTTAAGGTAGCAGTACTGTTTTTTATTCAGCCATTCATTATGCTGATTGAATTGGGCATAAACTCCACATTACTTTTTTAATTTTTAAAAAATTTTAATTAAAAAATAAATTTAAAAAAATTTTTAATTGAATATCCATGAGATAGATCATTACAAAGCTGGTCATAATTGGGTTTCAGTCATACTATGATCTAGCACCCATAGCTCCACCAATGTACATTTCCCACCACCAATGTCCCCCGTTTCCCTCCCACCATTCCCCAACACCCCACCATCCACTCCCAGCCTGCCTCTATGGGAGGCACTTGCCTACTTGTTATCTCTCTCCTTTTCCTTTTGAAGCACAATTTTTTAAAGTTTAACATTTTAAGAAAAAGATTGTTAGCTGCCTACAACAGCTACTAGATACATCTCCTCAATCTGGGCTTTGCTCTGATACCCAAGTGCATTCTCAGTTGATGTGTCGCCTTACACAGTTCAACGTCATCTGAGGTACAAGGCCCATGCATGCTCCATCAGTCACGAATCAGTCACAATGCAGCTGAGGAAGGAAAACCAAAGCGATTGTCTGGTGCCAGTCTGAGAAATATGCTGAATGCTGGTCCACAGCCCAGAACTGGGTCCCCTCCATTTCTTGCCCTAATTTCTCAGGCTTCAGAAACAAGGCACACACCACCAACTTGAGAAAGCTTCTCTGCCAGATCAAAATAGTCCTCCCACTAGCTCTCATCACAGCTTACGTCTGTCCTCAACGGCCCCAACCCCAGTGGAGTCTACAATTGAAGGATCAAGTTCAAGGTCTGGTTTCTCCATGAGGCACTGCCCACCTTGCAGATCTGTGCTGGCCACCCAGAGCCCAGCCTAGAGCCTGCAAGTGACTTCAGGATGAAGGTTTCCCCTGGCTCACTGATGATGGGAAAATGCTTCCAATTTTCAGAGTTCCCAAGCAAGATGCCAAAGCCCCTGATTCATGGGAACTCAAGAGATGATGCCAAATGTTTTCACGTTTCTGAGACATGCCAGACTGAATGAACATGAGTCAGGCCTGCTACCACACACTCGGGAGGCTTCCCTGCTTTGACATGAAATTGCATCACATTCTGCATAAGGACACTGGGCTCAGCAGAGCAGGGTGCTGGGATGAAAAGCAAACAGCAAGAGAGCTGGCCAAGAAGCCAGCAAGGACCCTAGCAGCACCAGGCAGGTCTGGGAAGCTGAGCAATGTGGCGAGGTCACGTACCTCTTCCCCCACCCCACCCCCAGGAATGCCCTGTGCTTACTAACGACATAAAAACATGCTTCTCTCCACTCATCTTTATTCTTCCCTTCAAAGGCTGTTGAAGGTAGGGGGAGGGTGTGGGATGGAACTATACTGGGGTTTTTGGGTGTGGAGAATGGGCACTAGTGAAGGTACGGGTGTTTCATTGTATGACCAAGACTTAAACCTGAAAGCTTTGTAACTGCTCTCACGGTGATTCAATAAATAAAAGTATAAAAACTGAAAAAAAAAAGTAAGGTGGAGTTCATACCCAATTCAATCAGCTAATCAGTGGCTGAATAAATAGCAGTAGTCCTACTTTTTAAAAAAAAAAAAAGGTTGTTGAGTTATTAGAACATTGAAATGTATGAAGCTGGGACCAGAGCGATAGTACAGCGGGTAGGGCACTTGCCTTACATCCGGCTGATCTGGGCTTGATCCACAGCACCCCAAATGATCCCCTAAGCCCACCAGGAGTGATCCCTAAGCACAAAGCTAGGAGTAATCCCTGAGCACTGCTAAATGTGGCCCAATAAATAACAACCAGAAAAAGAAAAAAAAAACCATGCATACGTGTGTGTGTGTGTGTGTGTGTGTGTGTGTGTGTGTGTGTGTGTACACAAAGCTGTTGAAAGCTGATCTCTTAACTAACACAACTGCAGGGTGCATATATTTCCCCTAAGTATATCACTGGGCTGGAGCGATAGCACAGCGGTAGGGCGTTCGCCTTACAAGCGGCCAACATGGCCGACCCGAGTTCGATTCCTCCGCCCCTCTCGGAGAGCCCGGCAAGCTACCAAGAGTATTCGATATGCCAGACACAGTAACAACAAAGTCTCCAATGGAGACATTACTGGGCCGGCTCGAGCAAAAGTATATCACTACCATTAACCAAGGAGGTCTCCAAAGCTTCACCCCAATTCATTCTCACAATGCTTCACAGGCATCATTATCCCCACTTTTCAGCTATTTGGATACTCAAGAAACCTGAAATCTAAGCCCTGGTCTTTGAGTCTGAGACCTGGGCACACTGCTCCCAGCAATCGCCAACTCTCTTTGGATTCTCACAGATGTCTTGTCCGTCACTTCTCCCTGTCACCTCTCCTGCATGCACCTCCTTCCCCCAAACCCTCCTCCTTCCACAGAACTGAGAAAGCTGAAAGCTGCTTGTCATGGCCCCAGACAGAGGTTCCTGTCCATACCCTGTCCAAAGCCAGGTCCAGTTGATTAGCGCCATGGCTCAATTCTCTAAGCCAGGGCAGGAAACCTTTTCTTGCCCAGGACACATGGATATTTATAACCTTATATGAGGACCATACAGTACACGCAGATGCACATCAGCCACCCACAAGACGAAGTGTATCTCTCCATCATGTACAGTACTAGATCACATTATCTCACAGGTGGCCAAAGAGCCAAACATTCCCACCACAGCTCTGAAGCCTAGCTTCTTGGGGAAGAATTCTCCAAGCAGTGCTCAGGAGGTCCAGGGCTCCCACAGGCTACAATCAGCAAACCAGGCCAATGCTGCTTGGTCCCTATGGTGC